TAACAGAAATAAGAAAAATATGTTAAAAATTTAACATAATATTTTTCAATATTACTTAAAAAATTCTGCTAAAATCATCACAGAACTGATTTTATTTTAAATTTCCTTAATTTTCTGAAATCAAATAATTGTATAGTATTTTACCTCGATGATAGAAATTTACAAAATTTTAACATAGCTCAGCCTTTATAAATAAAATATCGAATATAGTTTTCAAACAGCTTTCAAAAAATATAAAAACTTAGCATTCATCCTTTAAATAAGCCTAATGAAACAACTGTTTTTCAATTGTTTTAAACAAATCCAATATATTTCGGTTTTGGAGAAATTTTAGCACACTACAACGCTGACATACATTACATATACACTGAACATACTTACATGCTAAACATTCATTGTGTGTTCACTTTATTTTTAATTTAAATTTTTTTTCAAATTTTTGTTAGTAAATTTTCTTGAACCTAGCGAATTTTGTACAAAACATAACATTTTTCTCTTAAATTCTACAACGCATAACAACAACATCCGTTCGGTGTTTTTACATACACATACATAAATTTATTACATATGTATATATACAGCACATGTAAGTGTATAATATTTAATAACTGTGTTTTTGTTTTTGTTTAATTGGTGTATATCATAGTTTCACTACAAACACTAGTTAATATATACAAAGCTATGTACATATGTACTATGCGCATACTATTTACGATAAACTACCTATAGTTCCGTTATATCGTTAGAACCGACTGCTATGTGACTAATGCGTTTCGAGTTTCTATACGAATATATTTATTTTGTTGTTTTATATATTTTTTCATATAAATATATTTTTTAATTTTTGTTACGTAATCGCAGTGTTTTTGTTGTTTACTGATTATCGTTTTCAAATCGCTTAGCTACATTAAAATATCAAAAACTGCATTGGCTAAAATTAATATCATTAAATAAGGCATTTTTTATATGCATACACATATACATATATACAATTTATGTATGTATGCGTTTATATATGTGTATGTGTGTAAATATTGCAATATATACATACAAACTGTAATAAATTGTCGTTTCAATATAAATATGTATATGTATATTTTCTAAATATTTATATAAGCTAAATTAATTTATAAGGCTTTACTTTTACATATTTAGCTTAATTTAACTAATTAAAAAATTCTGCGGAACTATGAATTGTCAGTTTGCGTAAAATAAATAGTTTTTGGAAAATAAAAAAAACAAAAAAAAATTTTTAAGCGTAATAAAAATATTAAGCCCACATTTTTATAATTTATGTAGCAAATAAACATATTTTGATCGAAATTTTTAAAACAAATCTCTAATTAAGTTAAACCTTACTAAATTAATAACAAAATAAGATAAAACGTTAGATTCGGTTGCATCGAAGCTATAATACCCTTCACAAATACAAAAGGTCCTTTACATGATGACAGCTATGTTAACAATTTCTACGGAGATGACACCATTGTTTTCGAAAATAACCCAAGTCAAATTTCGAGAAGACATACAAATATTTTCAATTGAAAAAGTTTGTCATACAAGCTTGTATAAGCACTTCATTCCGATTGTTCAGTTTGGATGGCATCTAACTATATGCTATACTGGTGTTATATTGGCGGTTCCGACGAAATAGCAGTAAACAGACTGACGAACATGGCTTAATCGACGCGAATTTTTATTGTTTATAGGGTCTCCGACGTTTCCTTCTAGGTGTTACAAACTTCGGGTCACTTATTATACCCTTTTCAGAGAATTAATATGTGATGTGGAAGTACGAGCAATAAAAGGAAAATATCTTGCATTCTCCCAAATTAAAATGTAATAAACTTTGCCATTTCGCAGTGAGATATTTCATAAATCTGACTAAAACTAGGTATTGAGCGTATAGTTACTGATTAGGGGTTATGAAACGATACAAAGGTAGATAAAAGTACCGACTTACTATGTATATTTAAAAACATAGTGATTCCAACTATAGGTTAGGTGAGATAAGATTCTTTGGCTGATCCACAGATCTACTAGATATATATATAGAGCTATGTGAAGCCATAAAATTAGAACCCCTGCATTCAATCTTATAAGTCGACAAGCGTGTGGAAGCCAATACAAATCTGCTTAGGCGTTTAATTTCTATTCTCACCAGCTCAGTGGAATATCTGAAAGTGTCCACTTCGTCTTCTTTCATACAGATTTTACAGCTGGCATCCGGAAATATTCTCAATCTTTCAACGTGGTAGCCGATAGAGCAATGAACTGTTCGAATCCTCTAAACTACGGAGAGGCTTGTCTTACAGAGGGCAATGAGTTTACTGGTTCTTGCGATTGAAGTTTTGCCAAATGTGGTTATAAATATAACAGTTATACGAATATGATTATAAGTAGCGGTCATCCATATAAAGCTATAGCGGTTCAAAAAAATTAATACATAAAAGCTCCTCACACATAGAGTTCACTTCGGCTTATAATTTATAATAAAAAACTTATTTAAATAAAATAATAAGTATTTTCTATTGTATATGATTATAATAAAAAAAGCATTTTATTTGAAAAATCTGTTATGTGAGCATGAAATTTTCAAGTGCTGGCTTTGTCGAGTCTCCAATGAGTTCTTTATTAATTCAATATAGAAAATTATATTAAGGCAACTTTTTTGCGTTTTTTGATTGCAAAACTTTTAACAAGAGCAAAAACCAAAAAAAAAGTATTTAAATTTCTTTTCAATGCAGACTTTGAAAACAAATATGAGTACAGTAAGTTATATAATATATCTGTATACATAGTACTGCTTGAATAATCTAGTATAAGTCGGCTAAATAAGATTTGAGCGTACTTATGTAGTTAAAAGCATTATCCCTAAACGCGAGTTAATTAGTTATGTATGTATATGTATTTTTATGTGGATGTATGTGTAAATGTTTGTATGTATTGTGGAAATGTATTGGATGTTCTGGTAAATACTTCTAAGTGTGTGGTGTAACTTTCTATGAAACGAGGAAGCATTGATTTCGTCGGTGTGTGTTGCATTGAATGCACTACAATTTCGTTATTACATATATGATACTATACATATAATATTTAAGGTTTCTGCTATAGAATACCAGGACTCATTCACGAACGATTTAATCACCTTTAAAATTTTGATATTTTCTGTTAAATTTATCTATAATTTCTTTTTGCAAAGTTGCCTTTTACCGTAGTAGAGTTTAACTATCTGCAGCGTGAATGGATAAGGTTCTATTTTTTTAAAATAATTTTGTGATATCATTGGAGGAAGTGAGATTTTTTTTTAGTTGCTATAATACATAATTTTACACTAATTTTAATGTTGGGTCTGCAAAAACAAATAGCAATTGCTATACCTTTCAAAATTGTTCCAAAGTATTGAGAAATATTTGAAAAATTTTTGACATACAAAAAGATTAGAATATAGATCATTAGAGACCTGACCGTAATCATATATATTGTAGCTGGTTAGATACTATACGATATTTCTTTCATCAAATTGAAGATTCTAAACAATGTGGTGTATCAAAAACCCTGTCACTGTCAGAATAGTGGTAGATACACGAAAGTATGGGAAATTATTTTTCATCCAGTCCCAAGTTCGGATTGTTTTGGATTGAAGACTAAACTAACCTCACATTGGATGGTTGGTTGGTTGAAAAGGAGAGCGCAGGAGCGCATTCTACTCCCGAAGGAAAAACAACTTAGCCTTATCCTGCAACTCAGTGGATTTGGTAATTTAAATAATTTTCTTCAACCCGGATGCCGTCTCATCATCCTCCGCGCAGTTCTGCATTCCACCGAATAAGTGTTACTTATTTTCTGAAGGTGAGATCTTAGAGGTACGTTCCTTGTCATGACCACTACAATGTTGCCCTCTTGTCTGAAAGTATAAAATTTTTGGTCTGTCCACCCCAAAATACCTTTGTGGGCCCTGTGTTTCTCGTGTTCCAAGACCTGAGGTGTGCCTCTAAGCCAATGAAGGTTCTGAATGGTCTAGCGCAGTTTATCGGAATTGTGTTCCTGGCTGCTCCAGAGCGTGCCAATTGCCATTTTGTTTCATTCTATTCCTATATGACTAGCTACCCAGAAGATTTTTTTACCGATTTTCTCACACATTGGATAGCAGACTATTTGAATTATTCATATATGTCGGTCTTATATTAATATCCTAAAATATCGTGTTATCAAAAAGTTAAAGAGTTTAGATTAAATGAAATGATCCAGTCAAATTGAAATAGGTTTCCGACAAAATAACACATTACGATCTCTTAGCAGCCTTTGATAAAGCTGGTGAGAGGAAACAATGTACCCAATCTCGGTGCAATAATCGAACATAATTGTACGGAAGGCTACTATTAAGCCCATAATGAGTTTGGACCACAGAACTCTATATTCTTTAAACCGTCGTACATTATTTTCACAAATTTTTAACATATTTTTTAATCTGAAAATTCGTAATAGGCGTTTTGAACTCATCTCACATGCGACTTTCTGAATGGCTTACCCTTATTTAGTAAGTTTTGAAACCCTAAGGTGTTGGGCACATCTCTATGATAGAAGGTACTTATTTGGAATGCGGGGGATCTCATTACTTGAAATTCCTTAAAAAATCTTTTAATATGAGTTAGATATGTAAAACAACTCAAATATGGTTTAGAAGTAAAGGGAACAATAAGAGGAGTATAAGATAGAGTAACACCAAAAAGATAAGCCAAATCTTAAGATTGGGGCTTTAAATATCTCAGTAAGTATAGGTTAAAGTCTATTAGTAAAAATGAGATTGTCTTCAACGCAATAATATTTTTGCTGTACCTCGCAAAATAATTCCAAATTTTAGGAAATTCGAGATCTCCAATGTGTTCAAACAGATTTTTTTTCAGGATTAAATTGAAGACAATTGATTGGTCGAATTTGGTTATCGTTCATTCACGCTGCTTATACGCTTCTCACACTAACTGTACTTTACTTTCATTCACGCTGCTTATACGCTTCTCACACTAACTGTACTTTACTTTACAACCTAGTATATATGTATGTAAATGGATTGTGTATAACTAACATTCGCTTTTCGTTAAAAACTACGTACATATGTATGTATGTCTGTATGTAAATCTATACAATTGTATGCAAAATTTAATATACTACATATATCATGTATTTATGTATTACTAGTAACAACAACAAGTATTATATACTTGCAGCCTAATTTTGTTTGGTGTATAAAATATTTCAAGCCTTGGAATTCGTTAATCTTACATAAATATATTTGAATATACTACAATTTTTTTTTGTGTTTTGCATTTTGCTTTTGGTTTTGTAAATGGAATGACATCTATAAATCTTTTATACAACAATTTCGCATTTATATGTATGTATATACATTTTTTTTAAAATTATTTACTGGAACACAGCAATCATTTGGATTTGCAAAAATTTAAAAAAAATATTAAAATAAAAAATTATGTTAAAATAAAAAAAAAATATTAAATAAAAATGCAAAAAATACCTACAACTTGAAGTTCGCATTTTGGTTGTTGTTGTTTTTTGTTTGTTTAAATCTATATATTTATTTTAGTGGTAAGCATTTTGCTGGAAGTTGAAATATTCTCTATTGGAAGCTTATGTTTTTATGTACTTTTTATGTTTGCTTTATATTGCTGGTCTGCATATTGCACAGTTATGTGTATAAAAAAATGCGCTCGAGCACAATATGCCAACAACTTTTATGGCTTATAACGATTTTTAACCATAAGGTTTTCTATAATGTCAACTTCTATGCAGCGCTTTTGCTTGTCTATGTATATGTAAATATAGTTATGCTATTTTCTGCCTTGAAAATTAGGTTTGTATATATGTAGGATTATTTTGTTGAACATAAGTGCACAAGTTCATTGGTATTGCAACGTTCGCAACTGCTAAGACTTAATTATAGAATGTAGGATTTGTTGCACATTATTATGTATGCATATAAAGAGCTAAGCATTTAATTCAACAGGTCTAGGTTTATGCACAACAATAAGCTTTTCATGTATATAGTATATATTCACTAACATTTGAATGTGTGCGTGTTTTGTATATACCCTGCAGTGAAGCAATACGTAGTATGCATTGGTATAATTTAGAGTATGGGTTAGTGAAAAAAATTGTAGGTTGCCACTTGTATGTAAATTTGTGTGTGAAAAACTGTTTCTACAAACACAGAAATATGGTATTTAACTAAATCGGTTTAAGAAGACTTAGAGTTACAAAATATTTTACGAGGGTTGCCAGATGTTTGAAATTTTTATTGAATATTAGTAGTAAGGAAAACCAATTATTACAAGTGGGTTTAGAACGCTAGTAATAGAAAATATTTTTCGTTGAGTGTTGCCACCCGTTTTAAAGATTATATTCACTAAAACTATAAAAGTAAACAAATTTTTGCAGTGTCGTTGTCGAAATAAAATGGCTTATAAAAGATTGCAGACGTATACATGAGAAGAGTTGCCATCTATTTAAATTATTGTTATTTAAATTTATGGAAAAAATGAATGAAAATTACAATATGGGTGTCAAACTGAAGAGTTTTCCAGAAGATTGCAGGCGTAAATATTTTTGAGAAGAGTTGCCATCTATTTAAATATTTTATTCAAAAAAATTAAAAAAAAAAACATAATAAATTTTATATTACGGGTTTTAAGAAAGAAGTCAGTCAGGTGTATGTTTTCGGATTGGATTGCCACCTGTTTGAAAATTTTGACATAAATAAATTGTCGAATATTCATTCTTCTTCATATATAGTTCAATGTTAGGGCTTTCGTGCGCGTATTCAGTTAAAAAACAGACAGTTGGCGGATTAGTTGTGTTCGTACTAGTCGTAAGATATTTGTTCTCAACAAAATTGTAAAAATAAACTAATAATTACAATAAGGATGTAAAAATTAAATGATTAAAAAAATAATGCAGGCGTAAATATTTTTGACGAGAGTTGCCATCTATTTAAGTTGTTGTTATTCAAATGAATTGAAATTAAAATGTGGGTATCAGAATAAATGTGTTTCGGAAAGATCGCAGGTAGTAAAATATTTTTGAAAAGAGTTGCCATCTAGTTAAATATTATTAATAAATTATTGAAATTTTACACTATGTGTATAAAAACTAAACAGTTTTAAGAAGGATATCTGTAAGAAATATATTTTTGGAATGGGTTGCCACATGTTTTGAAATTTTGATAAAAATCAAATAACAAAATTAATAAAAAATTTTAATACTGATATCATTTAAAGGTATCATGGAAGTTTCGTTTCATTACGTATTTTATGCGTGCCTTAAGTCGAATATAGTTGCAGGATTAGTTGAATTCGTACTAGTCGTAAGTTGGTTTTGAACTAACGCATTTCACTGCAGGGTATTTGCATATAAATGCCTGTGTAAGTGTATGCATGTGTATTGCCTACAATGTTTATGTTTGTATGGGAATGTGTGTGATTATATTCTAAGTTCGTATATGTATATGTAGGTGTATATATCTAACGTCTTCTATAATCCCTCATATTTAAACGCTCGTTCAAAAAAAATTTGAACTCTATACACTCGAATAATCTAGTATTTATATGTGCCCTTGTTCAAATGTATTATCAAACGTATTCTCTGCTCCACCAAACACTCCAGTAGTTCTTCCTGTTGTTGCTGTAATTTCACCGTTATCATGCGGAGCAGCCATTTGCATTTCGTTTGCATTAAAAATTATCTACTATCCTCATTATCACTGGAACTATTCTGATTTTGCGCTTCACGCTCCTCCAACAAGCTGCGATTCAATTCCTGTATGCGCGCCGAGAGCGCACGACGTCGCGGCGTGCTGAAAGTTGGCGGTGGCGGTTGTTCGATTAATGTGTTCTTTTCACCTGCTTCAACGACGACGCAAGCAGGTGGTGCAATTAAGCGGTTTCCGGCGAATTGTGGCCGCCAGCGGGTGATAAATGTGACGAATTGGCGTATGTAGGTGTGTGTGTGTGTGGATGTCGTAATAGTAGGTGGTGTGTGGTTTTAGGCGCCAAGCGTGAAAGTGTCGCAATGTTTGCATGAGCGACGGCCATTTTCACGGTAATGCAATTTTTTTTCGGTTCGTAAAATTTAAATTTAATTACAGTTTTGTTATTGTTGCAATAATTATTTATTTTTATTTTTTTTAATTAATGGTTGATGAGGCGCCAGCATGTTGGATGAAAATACATGTATTAGGTGTTTAAAAAAAATTTTTTTTTTTTAATTTTGCCCAAGTGATGGGTATGTATGCGGTTACAGGTGGTCGGTATTAGCATTTATGAAGTTTGTGGCATTGTTTTGGTATTTATAATTTTTATTATTTTGTTGTAGGTGGTGTTTGGGTGATGTGTTGTTGTTGTTTTTAGCGGTGATTGTGGCAATTATTGTTGTGATTATGTTATATACATGTGTGTTTTTTTTTTTTTTTTTTAATTCAAATGAGCGTTATGGTGATGATGATTTGTACCGCAAACGGTGAACAAATATGAACGATTTGGCGTAGAGTGAGAGAAAGGAAAGAGAAAAGAGAGAAGATTTTACAGTTTTTTTAAGTGAAATGTTAGCTTTTATTTAGCATAAACATTTAAAACCTTGATTTACTAAATATATAAGTATGTTTGTATATATAACTAACTACTTATATGTAAATTTTTTTTATGTATAAATTGCTTGTTTTCGCTCAGAGAGCATTTTTCGGCAATAGTACGAAGCTAAGAGAGGAGCAGTTGAAGCGAAGTGATGGTGTATTGTGTTGATATTAAGCAATTTCACACTAATTGAAGGAACTATTATTATATGTAGATTTATGTATATACATAACTGTAATACTCTCTAGTAGTGGGGTTCTAAAAATCTTATTAAACTTCAATTAACCGGCTGCAACTGTTTTTGAAGTAAACAATTATTAATTCGTGTTCGAAAGGCATATATTTAGATATTCGAAACCAGAATGAATTGGACAATTTTTAATCCGAACAAAGTTAATAATAATTTTTATAAATTTTTTAAAACAAATTTGCATATTTGAAGTTTGAAAATCAGTCAATTTGATTTTGTATGTGAAAATAACAAAAAGCATCACAATTTGGCATATATTTCTTTATTTAAAAAAAAATTAAAAAATAATATTATCAGTTGCAGCAGTTTTATTAGAATTTCGTTAAACATTTTTGCTATGAAAAAAAATTATATAAAAGCTACTGTAAAATGCTTAAAATGTTCGCTAGAATCGTTTACCATTTGTTTTGGAACTGCAAATCTATAATATTCATGCAAAAATGAATTTTCTAAAATTTTAGTAAATTCGCTATGAAAATTTTTTCTTGCAAATTATTACATTTTTAAAATTTTTGAAAATTATTGCTATTTTTGAAAAATATTTTTGAGTAAATTTAAAACCAATCTTCTGCTAAATGCTCATGACAAACTTATAATAAAATATTTATTTCAGTAATTTAAATTTCTATAACAAATTTCAGCACTTGAAAATCGCATACTTTCAACTCCACAATACGAAATGTTTCAGGAGTTATTGTTGTTGGTGTATGTTGGGGAAATAGAAAGGTAGTTGTTGCTATTTCTAAGTTTAAATAATATGTTTGTACGAAAAAGGTACATAAATTACGCTAAAAAAACAAAAAAAAAACAAAAATTTTTATGCAAGAGCTGCCATACTTATGTAATTAAGTTTTTTGAAAATTAAAATTGAAAAAATTGAAAAACTGCCTGCAAACGCAACTAAAATATGCAGACAGACAACGCAACCCAATAAATGTTTGAAAATAATATTAAAGTAGCAAAATTTATGCACAAAATCACCAATAATGTTGCGAAAAGTAATTAATTTATAACAATTGTAAGTTAATGCTACTATCATCCCTACTTATTTTTAATTATTAAATGCAATTTTTTATTTATTTGTATACCCATGATATGCCATCAAAATATACCTATACATGTTGTACTAGTAATTATTACTGCGTGCATTTTTGGTGGATTTGTTTGTTATTTACAGCAGCAACTGGATCCCAGGTGTCTCATAGCACACTAATATTTGTATGTGTCCAATTTTATGGTGTTCCATTAATTATATTATATTAAATTGTTATTAAAATTTATTTACAAATTATTATATACTCATATACTGTCTATGTGTTATATATATAAAATTTTTTGCCAGCGTGTACATATATTAGATCCCAGAAAGGTGTTCATAGCGAAGCATCGTCTCCGAGTCCTTTGTAACTATATATGTATATACACAATTTTTTCACTTAATTCTAAAACATATAGTAATTACAGCTAATTTATATAATAATATCTATATATAATGAATTTGTGAGCATTTGTGGTTTGATTGTCTTTGCATATTGCATGTTTCAAAGAATAATATATATATTTTACAAATTGAGTATAAACAATTGACTCTATAATTGAGTGTGTGAAATTGTGAAGAAGTGATAATGTGAGCAAGTCTGTGAAGTATTCTATATATTATAAATACTTTAGTAATTTTTTTCAAAATTTTTCTTAATATATCAATACAACGATTTTCGAATCCAGTGGTCCAGCGACCACTGTTAATGGCTATAACATGGAAAAAGTTAAAGAAGGAGAGCTTAAAAATCTCCACGTTCGCATCAGAGAGGTAGCAGAGGATCTCAGAAACATTTCTTATGGATCGACTCAACACATATTGATTAATGGTTTGAGTTTAAAGCATGTCAATGCTAGATTCGTACTAAAAGACCTGAATCTTTTGCAAAAACAACGTCGAGCAGAGGTCGTAAAAGAGATGCTGGTCAACGTAGCTGAGGACTCTACATTCAACAAACACATCCTTATTGGTGACGTGATGTGGGGTTATGACTATGACGTCGAAATTGTGTAATAATCTAGTAAATGGCGCCACAAAAAAAAAAACACGCCACAACACGTTGATGACACACCACGGTCCCATGAATTCGTTTCGAACTGTCAAACAGTTAATAAGGAATACTACTTGGCCGTTTCGTAGTGTCTACGTGAGTGCAGTTCGTACGGAAACGAAAAATCTGGTCGAAAATTCATGAATCACAATAATACGCCATCGCATTCCAACGTGATTGTGTCTGACTTTTTGGTTAAACACGAAATGATATGTCATCGCTCAGCCACCGTATTTTTAGATTTAGCTCCCTGTAACTTTTTCTGCTTCGAAGCTGAAAAATCTGCTTCGAGGAATGCGCCAGAAGTCCATTGAAGCCAGTAAAAGTCCAGCCCATAACCAGTGTATGGAAAATTGGCTTTGGCACCGTTATATAGGCTCAAAAGGAGTATATTTTGATAAAAATCTTTATTAATCGGTCGAATTGGATCAGATGGTATCGATGTCACCAATGCATATCACACCTTATACTCTAGCGCTTGCCCACCCTATCCATGTACACATTTTAGAAATCGTTCAGAAATCTGAAGGGATTTTCGAAAATCCAGATTTTTCTAGTGCAGACTTTTGAAGAAAAAAATATTTAATAGAAATCTTTTAAGGCTTGATAAAATAAATTATGTTTGGCAAATTTTCCAAAAAAAAGTTTATTGATACTTTTACTGGACGGAAATAGAAAGCATTGCGATTTTTTTTCAAACCAATTGCTACTTAATTAAATGTGATATATATGTATATATATTTTTAAATATTTTCAACTCTAATATTAGTAGAGATTTGTATTCCCAAATGACTATTGAAAATCGGTAGTACAGGATTTTGTAACTATTTGCTATTTATTTGAATTTCTAAATATATAAATATTATACAAAACTCAAATATGTGTTTTAAAAGAGTATAAATCTTAAAAAACATATTGTATATTTTTATTTAAAATTGCGACGTGTATATATCTCAAAAATGCAAAGGTGGCAAGTACACAGTGTACAGTTATATTTGTAAGTGTCACAAAAATGATTATTTCATAGGTAAAATCGTTTTGTTTGTTTGTATGTATGTACATATGTTAGTATGTTTTATATCTAAAAACTAACTAAGTATGAATAGATTTGCGAATTTTTTAGTTGAAACCGTGTGAAAGCAAATGTGATTTATTGTTGCTTATGCGTTTGCTTTTGCCTTTGCTATACAAAGCTCAACATTGAAGGAGGTGGAGAAGAAAAATTACGCAAATTACGTACGTATGTATGTATTCACCTGCGATTACAGCGCTCAATGGTTGTTTTCCTATATTTGGCGCTTTCTGATTTTTACCTTTCGGATGTACGACATTTGTCTGCTTGCCTACAAGATACACATACACATATACATAAAAGATATCACATGAAAGTAAGTCACACTAAAACTACACATAAGCAATGTTAAATACGTAAGTCTTTACGTATAGATTACGAGTAGGTATAAATACTGATGCAGTAAGACACCGACACTTTGGGGGCACACTTAATTGCTCTGAGTGATGTCATTTGCACTTTAACCAAGTTACCGTTGATAGGAATGGCGAAAAAAGATATATAGGTAAAAAAAAAAAACAAAACGCAAGAAGAAAAAAGCAGTTTGCACTTGAAACTTAAGTAATCGACTGCAACGCTGCTTGAAGCTTGAAGCCATTTTGCTTTTTCTAAGCTACTTTTTGTGGGCGTTTTTCTGGTTTTTGCTTTTTTATTGCTGTTTTTGCTACTTATCATTCAGGCATTTGTATATGTGTTTACATATTTGTAGTAGTGTTTAGTTGTCTGTCTGTTGTTGGTTGTTGCTTTTTTGTTTGGTGTTAGTGTTTGCCTAATAGTTATACGCTTAACGTTGGCTTGTGGTCACATAACACCAACTTAATGTCATGTAAATGCGCTACTTAAAATACAAAGACTTTTACTTAATTAATCTACTTAAAGTGATTGGTAGGCAGTGAACTGTGAGTGTTGATGATTTTGAGGTCTTATGTTCCAACTAGGCACTAACATATGGGAAAATTTATATATGGGTGTTGATAGTTGAAATGCAAGTATTTTGAGCCGGTCGATAGGTGGATGAAAAGTTCCTAAGCGTTACAATAAAAGTCATTTTATTTTAGAATATACTGTTTGATAATTATTCAATTGAATTGATAACTAAGAATGGTAGTTTTTACATAACTATTCTTTCAATCTGACAAATGTGTCTTTCCACCGTAGAGAAGAGAAAAATATTGCCTACATTGAAAACCAAGCTGTCTTGAAAACTTTACGAGCAATTTCGGGTCTACAGACTTCTTTCTTGGCCTCACTTAACTCTTTTACGAGCCGTTGCCAGAAAGGTAACCAGCGTAAACATGAAAATGCTACCGAGGAAGAAAAATACCTTCAATAATCTTTAGTTATTCGATTGAGTATACTGAAAACTGGGTGTCTGGTAACATATGTGTGTCTTCCGATTTAATGCTTTCGGTTACATGCTTACTCTACTAGTGCTTTAAATTTTATTAGATGCTTTGCGTTTCTTTCTTGTGTTGCACGCCTTGATGTAATTTCATAGGTATTAAAAGTCTTAAGCCACTTTTAAGTTTCTTTCTCCATTTGTCAATTAGTGTGTTTTTGGTAGCTCTTTAGTTAATGTCAATACTAGATTCGTACCAAAAGAACAGAATCTTTTGCAAAAATTATGTCGAGGTCGAAAACGTGATGTTTGACAACGTAGCTGAGGATCCTAGACGAAATATGGGTTTATGAATATGACGTCGAAACAGTTCAACTATCTAGCTAATGACACTCCAAAAGTGAGCTGTAACCGAAATAATCAAAATTTACTGAAGTCATTGAGAACCATGCCAGCCGTGGCTTATAACAAGTGTATAGAAAGTTAGCTTAAGCGTTGGCTTGCCTCAGTAGTCATTTTGAAGGCGACAATAAATATATGTATCAAAACACGTAAAAATGTTGTTTTTTATGTCAGTCCGGTTCAAATTTAATGGTATATAAACTATTGGAGTTTAAACCTTTGCTGAATGATTTGATGAGTTTCTTCTCATTTTTGTTGCGTACGTTACGATCATAATTAAGAAAAGAAGGTTAACATTTAATTTTTAGCTCCGAATAGCTAATAGGTTTTATGAGAATTTGTTTCTTTCGAAAAGTGATTTTTTCTACTATGATTTTACCAGGTAGGCTTTACAAATCGTATTGGCTTCAAAAATACTATAATTTCTTGATATTTGCATTTACTGGATGTGGGCGAAACGCTGAGCCCAAAATTATACTAATTTTGTAGATGAAAAAGAATATTAACGTAGACAAAAGTTCACTCCATGAACCTAAACATATTTTAAGTCCCTCATCGCTGAGGCTAACTGGCACAGACTAATACGTTGATAAAGACACGATCATGTCAGTGCCTCTGCGGAATGAAAGAGTCACCTTTGTAATGTAAATACCAATTGAAGAGGGTTTGGACCTCGTTTAGTGTGCAGAAATTACGCTAACTTGCGTAATGAAGACATGAACGCGTTATCGGTTATTCTAATAGTCGGTCAAGATAGTCCTAGAGTTTATTTCTTGCTTACTTTTTTCTTCTATAAAATAATTATGTTAACTATCTGCGTATGTTCGTACTTACTACTGATGAGTCAACTTTTGCTTATACTCTGCACTTACAAACATACATAATATACAGTTTTTGGTGTATGAAATTCAAGTTATTGACAGAATAGGGCGGGACTACTAGATTACTTTAGATGGCATAAAAATATGATCGCAAGATATGGCGACTGATAAAGGTTGTTGAAGCCAATATTAATAAGAATTTTGGGCTAAATGTTATATTTTTCTAAGAATTTTGTATACAAAAATATTTCGTAAACTTAAGACAAATTTTGGTGTGCTCATATTCTTTAAATTGTATATTTATTATAAATGTATAAATACTAATTAGTATAAGCTCTCTTCGATTCGCCAAATCTTGCAGAGTAGTGTGTCAAACGAACAACTGTTATAAGTCAAATAGACTGGTATAAATGAATAGATTTAGAATATTAAGCTTTTTTTACTGCTGCAGTTAGGCGGTTATACTCTTTCGTGTTGAATGTAACTGAAAACCTGTGCTATTGCTCTCACGTTTTTTCGACAAGTGAGCAGAGCTTAGGCGTAGCGAGCAGAAAAGTGGCGAATCGAAAATACTTACTTACTAATTATGAAATACTTTGCACTTATCACTAAAAGGCTATTACATTTTGCATATGATATTACTTGTAGTTCAAGTTCATAAATACTTTTTGTGAATATATATTTAGAACTATCTATATTTTTTTTTTTATAAAATGTGTCTTTTTCATAACATGTGTTCGCTATTTAAACTACTTAATTGTCGGTTTTAAGCTACAACTAATTATTTTGAAAATTTCTATCATCAGAGTTTTATTTAAATATTTACAGTATAGTAAGTATTTTTTGAAATTTCGCTGCAATTTAATTTCTGTGCTAAAAAAAAAAATATAATATATATATGAAAATATAAAATTTTTGAAAATACAAAATTAATAAAAAATATTGAAAAATTGCATGCCGAATACCAATTTTTATACATAATATTGTAGTTGTTTGTAGAAAAAGTAAAACCAAACGTTTACGTATATGGAATTTGGAAAAGCAAGCTGCTATAGGCAACCAGAAATGTAATTGAGTGTTCGTGAAAATATTTAGGAAAAGCGCACGAACTCAGAAGTAATGAAAATAAGCAAATTAATTTAAGCAATATACCACAAAGCAGCTACAACTACTATTTGTAGATTTAACTCAACTTCTTATTATTATTATTTTGTTTTTTGGAATTTTTTTTCGTATAAATAAGGGTTAAGGTATTATTACGTTTTATACGCCATAACAACAAATACCTATAGGTATTATAATACAATACAAAATTTTATGCTTTATAATAAATGTATTTGTAATTCTTAAAAGTGTATATGTCATATGAGCATATATCGTAATACAAATAATTATTTTCTGCTATGAAAATGTACGACATAAAAAGTGAGAGTGAATGACGTAATAGAATATGGTAAGTAATAAAATATGGTTAGTATGTGTTTGAAAGCATAATAAATATTTTTTTCGAATAAAAACTTTCTTTGCTTTTGATTATTATTTTTTGTGTATTTTTTAATGATTTTTTTTTTATATAAATATATAATATTTTTTACTATATATATGTATATATAGATAAATAGATGTGTACGCACCTGTATCCACAATGACATCAATGAGATCCATCGATTTGGCGAAGGCATCTTTCAAATTGATATGATGAAATGATACAATACTGCCCTCACGTTTGGCCCGATCGAGCGCCTCACGCCGCTTGAGCGCCTTCTCGCGTCGCATCTGATTCTTATAAAATTCAGCAAAATTGTTAACGATGATGGGAATAGGCAAAGCGATTACCAGAACACCGCATATGCAACACACAGTACCAATAACCTTTCCCAGTGCAGTAGTGGGATAGATGTCCCCGTAGCCAACAGTTGTCATTGTAATACCCGCCCACCAAAATGTTTCCGGTATTGAAACGAATTTTGTATCCTTTTCATCCTTTTCGGCAAAATATGCCAGCGAAGAAAATATGAGAACGCCCATTGCCAGGAACAGCATTAGTAGACCGAGTTCCTTATATGAATTACGTAGCGTAAAGCCTAACGACTGCAGGCCCGTTGAGTGACGGGCCAGCTTAAGGATTCGCAGGATGCGCATGATGCGAAATACTTGCACCACCCGGCGCACATCCTGGAACTGGTCCGTTGCATTTTTATTCGTCTCCAATAAGAATAGGGAAACAAAATATGGGAGTATTGCCAATAGATCGATTATATTAAGGCCACCCTTAAAGAATTTCCATTTATCCGGTGATGCACTAAACCTAAGTATATATTCTAAGGTGAACCACGATATGCAAACGGCTTCAACCATAGCCAATTGCGGATTATCAGATGGTGTACCATTCTCACTGTGTTGTAGTTGTGGTAGGGTGTTCAACGTCAGGGCTATGGTAGACAGGACTATAAATAGTATGGATATCACTGCGATAACCTGTTGAGAAGAATTCAATTCGATTCAATTCAGACGCTTGTTTCTTTCTTTTTTTTGTTTTCTTTTCAGTTTTTTGTTTTTTGCTTTTTAGCATAAACTGGGTTACAAAAAAAAATTGTTTTTGTTTTTTCCTTAAAAATCGCATTATGTTTTTGTTGTATTTTTTGTATATTTGCGCCAAACGTTATGGGAGTTACTTTGCTTTTGGTAATTACTTAAGATTGCTCTAACAAAAATTATATATAAATATACTAAATTATAAGCTTAAGGAAGTAAGAATTAAGAGGTTAAGCTTTAAGGAGCTTAAAAGTTTGAGAAATTTATACACAGTTAGTGCAAAAGACGGACAGTTTTGAGAAACTCTTGGAGCTTTGTTGTTTCTGTCTAAAACACAGAAAAACAATGCTTTTTGGAGAGAAAGCTTCAGGGAGCTTAAAAGCTTGAATATATTTGATGTAAAAGCTGGTGTCGCAGTTTTTAGAAAACCGAGTATGCTCGCTGTTTGATAAAAAATTTAAGCTTTTTAAGGAGAAAGCTTCAGCGAGCTTAGAAGCTTAAATATATCTGGTGTAAAAATATTGTTTTATTCTTACAAGATAGTGAAAGTTTGTTTTCTATCTCTGTAACACAGAAAAGCAAAGCTTTTTAGGGAGAAAGCTTTAGTGAGCTTAAAAGCTCTTTGAGTTGAAACAATGTTTCTTTTTGAAAAAAGTCGTGGAAGTTTTTCTGCAACTCAAAGCTTTTTAGGAAACAAATTTTAGCAAGCTTAAAAGTTCTTAACGTTTCTTTTTTAAGAAAATCGTGGAAGTTTGTTTTCTGTCTCTAAAACACAGAAAGCAAAGCTTTTTTGAAAGAAAGCTTCTATGAGTTTACAGCCTAAAGATTTAGGGTGTCGGCGAAGCTTTATTTTTTCAAAGCATATTAATTTTTTGGAGTTAACAGATTGGAGAACTCAGTCAAGGCGCTGAAAATTGTTGTTGGTTACTTTGTTGCAAGTCACACACACATATTCGCAAGCACTTTCTGCTTGTCTGCATCAAACCAGTTCCAAAGAATTCATTTTAGCATATTTGCAGCCTAATATTTTTTACAATAATAAATATGTCTTTATACATTTTGAAGTAAAGCAATAGAAAAATGTGAATTGTTAAGGAAGTGTCTTGAGTTTTACTAAGAACTAGCTGTTAGGAGAGAGATAAGGTGCAGGGATCTTGTTGGAATTTGACTAGACATCACAGAGGTCTGATAAAGATATATATACTCTAATTTAAACGATACCCTATATATAAATAAAGTAATATAAAATAAAAATAATTTAAAAATATAATAATACCTATTTTATATTTATTTGACTGGCAGAAATGCGAATTATATACACAACATGTCAGAGCCTTGACTTTCGAAACTGGTTTTGTTTTGAGTTTTAGTGTTAACACTAATGGACATAATTACTTGGTTTAGGGAGATGGGTACACATGAAACACACGAGCTATGCAACTAATATGTATTCATTCTAACGGGTGTGAGACAAAGACAAAAAAATATGACTAAATAAAAATCTAAACTAAAATTTACTTAAATTTTAAAAAATATATATTACTTAGGTTTAGTTTAAATAGAAAAAATAATATTATTAAATTTTTCTAATATTAAAAAATAAAAAATTATAATATTGACGTGACAAATTCACACAAAACAACAGAAGACACAAAACATATACCGTTACATATTTGCAAGTTTTGTGGTGGACATAACAAACAGATAATAGAAAGTATAGAAGGGTTAGAGACGATTTGCTTGTACGCAATTCGTGTTTGTTAAAAACATTTATATTACCATAAAAACAGGAAAAATTTATAATTAAATTAAATTACATAAAATATGTTTTATACATATACATAATAATAGCTTACATACAAACAAAAATAGAGAAATAATTATTTAGAAATCAAGATGTATAAAAATTCGTTAGGCTAATCTGAACTTGCTGCTGCAGCTAGTTGGCTTATTTTTATTGATAGCATAGTTTTGGGGGCGTATTTTTTATATTGAATTGCGATCGCAGTACTAACTACTTTTTCATCTAGCTAGCGGTACTATGGAGTGGGTTTGTGAGGCGGTTTGCAAACTACGGCTATGAAACTATGTTGCTGTTGGTTTGCATGGTGGTAATGAGAAATAAAAAAAGAGGTATAAATTTATGCATAACTTTGCGTCTTTTGTGGTTAAAGTAAATTTTTATAAGAAAACTAGTTCATATAATTTTATTAATGTATCACACATTTTGTCAGGTAGTAGGTCGGAAATTATTATACAGGCTACATTGTGAACAGGGAAAGGGATGGGCTGATTGAGTTAATTTTGACATTGAACGACATGTTCGGCCTAGGTTTGTTAGAATAACGAAAATCAATATGTATATTATATGTTAGTTGGGCTAATTCGTAGACTAAATTACCATAATTTATAATGACGAAAACTATAGTATATCCAAAATTATATGTTCATTTAATTTTAAATTGACCGATATAATTATATGGCATAAGGCCAACTGGATGTTTGAAAATTTTACATTAGGTGCATGAGAGATAGTGGTATTATTGACCAAATTTTATTTATTTTTGGTAATACAACATACTGCTAACGGAATAAAACGCACCTTGAGTTTCATAAGGTACCTCATATATACCAAGGTCAAAAAATGCACCATTATAAGGAAAACACATCGACATAATTTTATTAAGATAGTTCACATATTCGCCGATATATGCAGTATGAAGTAAACTGGAAGTTCGCCAACATTTCAATAAGATATATGGGGGCCTTTTGATATACATTCATACTATTATCAGAACAAAACTCTCTCCGAATCGCAAAAATATATCTCACAGGTTGACCTTTTTTTCCGGTAAAAAGTTAGCACCAGGCACTGGGGTCTCTATATTCGGTAACTGGGGGCTTGAACAGTTATGTTTCGATTTTTAAAATTTTTCGACTTGTGACAACCGTTATGTTAACAAAACTATTCTACTATGGAGCATCATATTGCAAGTCTATAAAAATATTGTTACTTTGAATATTGAAAGCACAATCTCTTTCTGTTATAATTTTTTCGTAACATTAATTAGCAATTAAAATTTTTCTTGAATAGGAACGATTATGTCTGAAAATGCATGGTCTTTAGGAACGATTAAATTCCTTATTGTTTTCGTTGACAACAAAAGCTAATGTAAGCCCTTATCACAACTATTTCTGAAAAGCGTTTTCAAAATAAATCTTAAGAAAGCTTTCATCAAGGTCTTTTAAGAAAGATTAAAATCCTTATTCGTTTTGGATGATATCAAAAGCGAATGAATGCTTTTATCGGAAATATTTATATATATTAAATTTCGTCTTCGAAAGCTCACGAAAGTTCGAGCTTATCACTTATTGACTGAGAAAAACTTGAAGGGATTTTTCGAATTACTTAGAAATACTAAAAGAGGAAAAGTTAGAGCGAGCTGTCGTCGTAGATATCTTTTGAAAGAGTGCCTAGATAAATTCGGATTATTTCCAAATTTTAATAATAGTCATATAATAGGTCATATAATTTCAATGGCGACTATGAAAGCTTGCTTACTTACTGATTGAGTAGAAGGTGTGAGTGTAATCCTTTATTTTAAGGAATTCGTTTTAACACTTTGTTTCGGCTTGAAACCAAAGGGTTGAAGCTTTTAAAATTTGATGAAGCTTTAACCACATTACTTTAAATTTAAATATTAATTAGACTTTATTTTTGCCACGATTTCAACAGCAATAACTAATTATTTATAAATTTTTTATAACTTGGATTTTAGTATTAATAATTAATTTTTTACTTTTTTTTAATAAACGTTCACTTTTCCCCAACCAAAGACACAAAGCTTGCAATAGTAGAAATAAAAAATTAAAATCACTACTTAAGACTACATTTTTAGTACTAAACTCAGCTAATCGAACACGCCTAAAGTGAGTAAGGACGTACACAATACTAACAATCGGGTCTGCAGTCGATTTTTATTTCTAAGTTGAGCACAAAATTTACTATTTTGTTTGAGAAAATCGAATAAAATTTTATAGAGTGCCCACATTTTGGGCATCAATTTTCAAAATGTTTGCTTATTTGTTAAAACACTTGTTTGTACTGTTTTTGTTCTGTATTGTTAAAAAAAANTTAATTTACTAAACAAAATTGTCGAATATCGCAAAATATGTGGCATTTGCAATCATTTATTTTTGCTCAAAACTAACACAATATGGATGAAATTTTTTTTTACAAACTCTAAGCGCTCGCAACCAATTCAAACAATTACAACTACAAACAATGCAATAAACTTTTTCGAAATATTTAGATAATTCTATGAAAAACGGCAAATATTCAATTAATGAACTTTTGGAACCAGTAAATAAATGTTTAGCATTAAAAAGCGTCCAAGAATTTATATATCATATTGTTTATAACCCAAAAAAAAAAAAAACACGAACACTGCCTGAAATTAGCACAGCAAAGTCAACAGTAAACTTTAGTACTGAACGCATTATTTTGCTTTATTTGAGTATTATAGATATTAGCAATAATACAATAATAATAAAAAAAAACAACCTGTATATCACAACAACTGTATTGGGATGGTACTGTAGCTGGTCGGGTGGGGGTACTGAAATATTGTAATACGAGTATGCACATCGCGACACAGCGCTACCACGAGCTATGAGCGTGTGGACCCATAGTTTACTACTTGCAATACGCCTTGCGCTGACGCTTTGTGCACTTACATATGTACCTACATATATATAATAGATATAGTTAATATTCGATTCACTTTCACATCTCACATGCCCCAGCATATCGATTATTGTTGTTGTTGGCTGACACATATTGCCCTTCGATTTGACACATTTCTCTTTGGCTTTGATGCAGGAGTAAAGCTTTGCAATGGTTTTTGTTTTTCGATTATTTTTGTTGTTGTAATTATGGTAAT